GACTTTCTCTTAGGATTCATTTTTTTTTATTCTTTAATGATCTCAGTCAAATCCTAACCATGCCTGACCTTGTTGAGCTTCTGATATCAGAGAGGTGTTCAGAGTGGCATAGTGATTGCCTCTATCAAATTCATACCTTCCGCTTGTATATGTGAGCTACTGCTCTGGCAGTGTAAGAACCTGCGCTTGAATACTGAGATCCCTATTAGAATTTAGAAGGAGGCACTACAACAAAATCCTGCAGCACATCTCTGGTGTGCAAGTTTTTTTCCTGAGCATCTGACTGAAGGAATGGAGAAACAAGATCAAGCATCCAAGACAGTGTTCCCTGCTTTAACTTGGCTCTGTTTTCATTTGCAAGAGTTTATGTATAGTTGTGTGTTGTGCCTTCAAGTTGTTTCCGCCATACCCTAGGGCCATATCATGGGGTTTTCTTGGCAAGATTTGCTTTGATTTTGAGTTCCTGCATGGCAGGGGGTTGGACTGGATGGCCCTTGTGGTCTCTTCCAACTCTATGATTCTAAGATTTGTTCAGGGGAGATTTGCCATTGCCTTCCCCTGAGGCTGAGAGCATGAGACTTGCCCAAGGTCACCCAGTGGTTATCCATGGCCAAGGTGGGAGCCGACCCCTGTTCTCCAAAGTCACAGTCCAACACTAGAACCACTATGCTGTACATTATTCGTTTGGAATATTTTGATGCATGCAAGTCTCAGCATGAAATTTCTGAATGCAGTTGGGTGCTTGCTTTGCCTTGCAAAGTGGCATGAGAAGGCAGTTTTAAACCGATTGACCTTTGGGTGAAGGCTGTGGGAATTTTGACCAAGAATCCAAACCAACTCCAGACCCACCTTTGACCAGCAGTGTTAGATGTCTGCCCCATATGCTGCAGTTACCATGCAGTTGCACTAGTACAGAACAAAGTGCTTATGGCGTTTTTAAAGAAATCAATTGAAGACATAGCCTGACAAGAAATAACTCTCGCCTAAATATGAAAACAAATGGCAAAACAAGCTTACTTAATGTATAATCTCTGACATTTTGGCTCAGTGTAAGTTGGAACAGATCATCTTGAATGGTTTTTGCCAGTGGCTCATCTATTTTACACTTGGATTTGCGGGTAGTATCTGTGTTAGGCTAAAATGTAACTGCTGCGATAATTTCAAATGTATGTAATAATCATTTATCTTCTTACCTATCATTTTACAATTGTGCGGCCTCCCTTTTAAAAAAAAAATATTCATGAAAATCCCAGGAGGAAGGGGGAAAATGTGGTTCTGGACTTGTAATTGTGCAAGATGTTAACAAGTAATAGCCCCACTATATTCTGAGTTTGTCAGGCTTCACCTGGAGTACTGTGTTCAGTTCTGGATGTCCCTTTTAAAGAACGATATAGACAACCTCCATTGTTCAAAGAAGGGCAACAAGGATGTTAAGAGGTATAGAAAACAAAACATACGAAGAAAGATTGAGCGAGTTGGGCATGAAGAGAAGATTGGGGGGTGACATAACTGCACTTTTTAAGTATCTAAAGGGCTGTCTCAGAGAGGAGGGTTATCTGCTGCTCCCTAGAGTAGAACCAGGTTTAATGGATTTAAATTACAGGATGATAGATTTCAATTGTGAGCCAGCATGATACAGTAGTTTGGGTGTTGGACTAGACTCTGGAATTGAGAATTCAAATCTCTGCTTGATGACAGAATCCACTGGGTGACCTTGGGCAAGTCACACTCTCTCAGCCTCAAAGGAAGTCAGTGACACCCCCCCCCCCCCCCCGAGCAAATCTTGCTGAGAAAACCCCATGGTAGGTTCACCTTAGGGTCTCCATAAGTTGGAAATTACTTGAAGCCAAAACAACAAGATTTTGATTGAACATTAGAAGGACCTTCTTGATAGTAAGAGCTGTTTGGCAGTGAAACACCAATTGGAGAGGTACTGAGGTCTCTTTCTCTGGATGGCTTCCTAACTGGGATATTCTAGCTGGGGTTCCTACATTGAGCGAGGGTTGCACTCAGTGACCCTTCCAGTTTTGTGATTCTGTGAACAGTTTTCTTATGCTTCTGCACCACAATTGCTGTTGTATATTTCTGGTTTCTGACAAGCAGGATGTTCTGTTATTTATTCCATTGTTCACTAGACTTCGACTTCAGCGTGCCAGGATCCATGAAACTTCACAATCTCATTTCGAAGCTGAAGAAATGGATCAAAATCCTGGAGGCGAAAACCAAACAGCTTCCCAAGTTCTTCCTCATTGAGGAAAAATGTCGCTTTCTGAGCAACTTCTCTGCCCAGACGGCCGAAGTGGAAATTCCTGGAGAGTTCCTTATGCCGAAGCCGACACACTATTATATCAAGATTGCACGGTAAAGTGGAGTTGGTAAAATGAAAACTATTACTGGGAAATGGTCTGGAATGAGTTCTAGGCTGCTGCCACACTACAGAATTAAAGCAATTTGGCACTGCTTTAACTATCATGGCTCCTTCTTATTAAGCCTGGGATTTATAGTATGTTGTGGCACCAGAGCTCTCTGATAGAGAAGGCTTAAATAGCTCACAAAACTACAAATCCCAGAATTACATAGCACTTAGCCATGGCAGTGAAAGTGGTCTCAAACTGCATTAATTGTGCAGTGCAAATACAACCCTAGTTATAGCTACCCAAACATTGTGACCTGAATCTCTTGGCAATCTGAACTAGACCCATTGAATCTGTGGGATTTACATAGGTGTTGAGTCTCCATCTTGCATCTGATTCATTGAGTCTGCTCTAGCTGAGGCAAACAAACAGTAGATTTCAATGAGAGAAGAGTTTCTCTCTTTTCCATGCAATCAATAGGGGATGAAGATGTTTTATCTCTACTGTAAAGTTTCTCTCTGTTTAAAGTTTGTTTTGATATTTGAGAAATTTAGTTCTTTGTTGGTTTTGTTCTTAAAGGAAGCAATGAGTACAGTAACCTTCCCACTGCAAGGAAGTCTTGGGAAACTTCCGTTTTTGAAGATTATTCACATTTCAGGAATTACTCTGTACAAAATTCACGCTTGGTCATTTTGCACTGAAAACAGCATTTTCTGCACAGGGCTTTTCTGTGCAGAAAGTAGTATTTCAGTGCATAAATATTTTCTGAGCAGAAAATATTTTTATAGTAGAGAAAATATTGTTTTCTGTGCACAAAAAAATAAAAAATAAAACTCCTCTGTGAATTTTGTGCAAACTAAGTCCCAAACTCTGAAGATTCTCTTCAGTCCAGGATTTTCCTCATTGGGTTTCCTGGCATTAGGGAGTCATATTTTTCAGCCATTTGTCAAATAATTTGAATATTTTTTCCATTACTACTCTTGTTAGGCTCTACAGATCCATGTACTTGGTTGTAGAATCACCAAACTTGGTGTGTTAACTAACAGAGTCCAACAGAGATGGTTTCTGTATGTTCTTTCCCCTCTGCAATGCATATTTTTGAATCCGTTTTGGCCAGAGTTGTTAGACGGCAGTTCAAAATCAACCTTCAGCCAATTGAGCTAGAGAACTGTTGGCAAAGGCCGATCTGGAGTTGAGGTGGGGTCTCTGGTAGGGAAGGTCTTCCAGAAGAAGCTAGACAGCCATCAGTTAGGTGGGGCACTTGTTCTATATTTGTGCATGGTGTGTGGATGACCCTTGGGCTGAAAGCAATACATAAGGAGACGATCTAGGTACGGTCTTAGTAGACTTGATTCAACAGTGTGAAGCAACAGCCAAAATCTCCAGTGTAATTCTAGGCTGCATCAACGGGAACATAGTTTCTAGATCAAGGGAAGTGGTAGTGCTACCTTAGTCTACTTTAGTTAGACCTTACTTGGAGTAATGTGTCCAGTTTTGGGCACCACAGTTCAAGGAGGATATTGACAAACGAACATGTCCACAGCCAAGATAATCAAAAATCTGGAAACTAGTTCTTTTGAGGACTAAAGGAGATGGGTATATTTAACTTAGACAAAGGATTAAAAGATGACAGAATGGCTGTATTTAAACTTCTGAAGGAAGTTATGTAAAAGTTTTCTCCTGCTCCAGACACTAAAGCACAAACCAATGGATTCAAAATACAAGAAAAGAGATTCCATCTAAACGTTAGGAATAATCTCTTTAATGTGAGAGCTGCCCAGCAGTGTAATATAGTGCTTTGAAGGATGGTGGACTTTCCACCTTTAAAAGTCTTTAAACAGAGGTTGGGTGGACATCTTTCAGGAGCTGTGTATTCCTGCCTGCCAAGTGGGTTGGACTACATGGCCCTTGTGGACCCTTCCACCTCTATCTGTTTCTGTCTTTTTAAGCAGGGAGCTGGACCAAGTGGCCTACTAGACCTCCTCTAACCCTGTGGGTTTGAGAGTCTGTTCAGTCTTTAGGCATGTGTTTATTCATTATTCATTTATTTGTTTGTTTATTCATTTATATATCATCCCCACTTCATCCTCACCAGTGGCAGGCAATGCTTTCCATGTCAGGGTTACAGTGGATCCATTCTTGATTTTGAATTCTTGGTTTTAATGGAATTATTTAAGGTTCACAGGGTGCAGCAACTTAGACAGCTCCTCTTGAGTCTGGAATAAAAACCAGAGCAACTTCACAGGTCTATCGAATCATAGGTTTGGAAGAGACCACAAAGGCCATCCAGTCCAACCCCATTCTGCCATGCAGGAACACAGTATCAAAGCACCCCCGACAGATGGCCATCCAGCCTCCATTTAAAAACCTCCAAAGAAGGGGACTCCACCACTCTCTGAGGGACCCTATTCCACAGTCAAACAGCTCTTACTGTCAGGAAGTTCTTCCTAATGTTGAGGTGGAATAGTTTAAATCCATTGCTCTATATTCTATTCTCTGGAGCAGCAGTAAACAAGCTTGCTTCATCCTCAATATGATATTCCTTCAAATATGACGTGAAGCTAACAGCTATGACTGTAAGCAACCATAAGAGTAGGTCAAGGTGAGTGAAAAGGACTGGCCCAGAGTCACCTAGTGTGGATTTTGTGACTGGGTCAGCATTTGAAGCTGGATCTTTCAAATCCCAGCTCAGCACTGTAACCACTGAGCCACACTGACTCAGTTTAGAAGCTTCCAAGTTGTACAGAACAGGAGTGAAAAGTCCTTAAAGCATGTGTGTGCATTTGATTTTCTTTCACCATCTTTTTAGGTAGATTAAATTGTGAGAGAGATTTCAAGGAAGAAGGGAGGGGGGCTCAGTTTTTAAATCCAAAGCCGTCTCACTACATGCTTAGGATTACACTCCCACCAGGGTTTCTCTGCCAGCAGTAAGAAAATCAGCGCCTGATCTACACCAAACAACCCATGTTCAAAAAAGAGGAACTTTTGTCGTTCAATTTGGAGAAGACAAAAGGCGCAAATGCATCTACGGAAGGCTTTTCATGCAAAATACCAGTCCTGGCTGAGCTGCATAATAGAAAATGTAGATGCTTAAAAGGTTGCATCATTATAAAAATTTATAATGGAAATGTTGGTTTTACAGAAGCTCAGTTGCTAATATGCTTCCTTTTGTTAGCTTTAAATATGGCATTTCAATTTCTTTCTCCCTTTTTTAAATCTAGCTTTCATCTTGGAGGAGAGAAATGAAGCTTTAGATTCTGAAAGCTCAGGTGCTTTTATCTCTCTCTCTCTCTCTCTCTCCCTCTCTCCTTTTTCTTGATAGATTTATGCCTAGAGTGGAGATAGTACAAAAGCATAACACTGCAGCTAGAAGACTCTATATCCGAGGCCATAATGGAAAGATTTACCCGTATCTTGTAATGAACGATGCCTGCCTGACTGAGTCACGTAGAGAAGAGCGAGTATTACAGCTCCTTCGCCTCTTGAACCCTTGTTTAGAGAAGAGGAAAGAAACCACAAAGAGGCATCTCTTCTTCACAGGTGGGTACCGCAACAGCACCCTAGGACTACAGATTTGGACAGGATGTTCTCAAAAATGGTTGTTCCTTCAGGTGACTTTAAAAATAGTTTGGGTTTCTCATGCACTGCTTTAAGACATCTCAGGAAGGTCTGGTTTTTCAGGGGCCTCTTGACACGAAGGCTCTTGGCAGGCCAGTGAGAAGGATGCTAAGGATCCAATTTACAAACTTTTGTGTAAATGAGAGAAAGTGCTTGGCTGTTCCAAGCTTCTTTGCAGTTGGAGAAGTGAAAGGTGGCATTTTTGATCATCTGCTCTTCAAGTTGGTGAAAGTAAGAAAGTGCAGAAGCCACCATTTACTGGGGCCACTCCTCATGACTAGAACAGTATCTTGTAAAAATTACCGTTGCACCACAAAAGTCATCTTTCTGTTACATTACAAGTTGTAGCTAGCCATCCTCATTATTGGGAAATGATTTTTTTAAATAAAATAATATAAAACAATGTAATTTTAATTTTAAAAATAAACATTGGAGAAGGAATTAATTACAAGTAATGAATTATTTATAACAAGTTATTTTCAAACTGATTTCAAAGCAATTCCTGCTCAAATGTTACCTCTGCGTATATATATTTTTTTCATTTTTACTGTATGTGTAAAGGCCAACCACCTATGTCCTATTTTACATTGTTCTTCCACTTTGCATATGGATTGGCCCTCTAGGATGTAACTTGTATCTCAGCCAAGCAAGTGTCACAGAGAGGAAGCAGGCTTCCAGTGCAGTTAAATTAAAGCTTCTCAAGACTAACTTTTGTGAAGGGCAAAGTATAAAACCTCCAAAAAGAAGCCCTGCTAAATATTGCTTCAGATGACACACACACCAAAACTAGCTGGAAATAACTCAGAGGCTGCACCAAGCCAGTCCAAAACAGAGCAGATTTAATCTGCTCCTACCAGTGGTCCATTTAGACCGTGGCAGTGGCCTGCTTTGGAAGCAGGCTGTGTGGTTTCCATGGTCCTTCCGGGCCATCTGCTTCAGCCCATAGTTTGTGGATGGTGGAGGGAAGGTGGCATGTCAAGGTGTGTGTTCTTGCATTTTTTAAAAAATCAAAAAGAATTGGGAGTCTCCTGGTAGATCTCATCCTGATCTAGACTCCTTGGCTGAAATCGTATAGAATATGAAGCCAAGCTGGAAGCAGCCTAGCAGAATATCAGAGGAGTGGAAGTAACTTTGCTATTGAAGGTCTCTTACCATTTTTGAGGCCTTTCCTGTCTGGTGGCTGCTGTTCTTTTTTTCTCTTCCTACAGTTCTGAGCCAGGGCTGGGCTTTTTTTTCATATTTGGAATGAAAGATTCCGTTTCATGGCTTAATCGGATAAAGCTACCATGTCAGCAGTAGGTAGATTCTTATCGCAGCAAAAAATATCTCCTTGTCTCCTACATAAAAAAAAGAGCGGAGAAGCTACAGATCTCCAGATTTACAGTTGACATGGTGTGAGAACAATGGCCAGTGGGTGGGCAGGAGGAGAGACATAAAATCCCCCTTCTTTTTCCCCCTCCGTGTCACACATCCTCCTTTGGAAATGCCTTTGTGAGTGAGGGCTGGTGTCTAGCAAAAACAAGCCGTGCTTTCTTGTGAGTTCTCTTTCATAGTGGAGCTCTTGAGTGTGCTGAGAGGGATGGAAAGTGCCACTTGACACACTTCATTTGATTGTTGCAGCCGTGGGAGAGCCGATATCTGCATACTAATTTGACAGCCGGTATATTGCTGTGTTTGTAGGCATTATTCATCCAATGTCCCCTCTTTTCCTCCTCTCATTGTTACCCGTACAGTGCTTTCAGTGTTTGTTGTTGTTGTTAACTGCCCTTGAGTCAGTCCCGACTGATGGCATCCCTGTGGATGAGACCTCTCCAAGAATCCCTATCATCTACTGCCTTGCCCAGATCCTGTAAACCCTTGCCCATAACCCCCCTGATTGAGTCTATCCATCTGGTTTGTGGTCTTCCCCTCTTTCTTCTACCCTCTACCTTTCCTAGCATTATTGTTTTTTCTAGTGATCTGTGCCTTTTCATGATGTGGCCAAAGTATGATAGTCTCGACTTGAGCATCTTTGTTTCCAAGGTGAGCCCTGGTCTGATCTGTTCAAGAACCCATTTGTTTCTCTTCTTGGCTGTCCAAGGGATCCTAAGTACTCTTCTCCAGCACCACATTTCAAATGAGCTGATTTTCTTTCTGTCTGCTTCCTTCACTGTCCAGCTCTCGCATCCTTACATGGTAAATGGGAATAAAATGGCCAGAACAATTCTGACTTTAGTACTCAGTTGTATGTCTTTGCTTGTCAGTATCTTTTCCAGTTCTTTCTTTCTTTCTTTCTTTCTTTCTTTCTTTCTTTCTTTCTTTCTTTCTTTCTTTCTTTCTTTCATGTAACTTTTCCCTGGCTTATTTCTCCAATTGTGAGGCAAACCAGGAATGGGAGAGACAATTTGTTTATTTGCAGTGCACTTCATGACTTGGGCAACAAACCATGTTTAATTTTAAAAATGGAATATTGTGATCAGTTATGTATTAAATATGACCAATACTGAGCTAGAGGAATCAGTGGTCTAACTTGGTATAAGACAATTTCCTGTTAATTTATTCATTAATTTTATGCACTTTACCCACATTATATGTTGTAGTAGCCATTGTTCTTGCTCTCATTCCCAGCCCTAGGATGCAAGGCTTTCAAAAGTTAAAAAGGAGACAGCTACAGTGTTTTACATTGTACAAAATAAATAAATAAATAAATAAACTATCAGGAAAATTACGAACAGTTAAAAACAACCATTGAAAAGAAGGAAAATAAATATAAATAAGATAGCACATGAAAGGCCCTTTACCTCCTGAGCAGTCAGTCCTCTAAGCCCTGGCAAAACAAAAAGGCCTTTGCCTGGTTCCAGAAGGATAACAAAGATCCAAAACACATTGCAGAAATATTCCACTTTAACTGCAATGGCTCAATACTAGGGAATTCTGGGAACTGTAGTTTTGTGAGATGTTTAGCCTTCTCTGTCAGAGAGCTCTGGTGCCCCAATAAGCTACTATTCCCAGGATTTTCCTAGCATTGAACCAGGGTAGTTAAAGCATTCTCAAACTGGATTATTTCTGTAGTATGTTTTGGACCAAAAAGAATGCCAATCTAACCTCTTTAGGAAGGGGTTTTCCAAACCCTGGAAGCAGCCACCAAAAAGACCTCTCTTGCCTTCCCATTAGATGTTCCTGTGAGGTCAATATGTAAGGTGAATAACAACAATGATCTTTTTTAAAAAAATAGGCAATTTGGAGATGTGGTGATGATGACCACTAGCCACTTCTTCTCTTTCTTACAGGCCAGCTGATTCCAATGGCAAGGAGCCAGGTCTTTAAGTAGGCACCAGAAGTCTGAATAACAAAATTGCTGGGGCAGAAATCTCTAGTTTTCACACAGATGTGTTTAGCCAGAGGGTGCTCCAAGGGGAAACTTGCCCTGGCTGAGAATGATGGGATTTACATTCCAAACACATCTACAGTCAGCTTGTTTGAGGTGGGCTAATCAGAATTGGGTGGAGTTTTGTAGAGTAGAGGTTTTAAGCATTTAACCAGCCAGATATTCTGGACTCCAGCTTACAGTGGTCTCAGCCAGAATGGCAGATGGTAAGGAGTTTGGGGAGTTGGCCTTTCATCCATTGAAAGACTAGCTTGAGAACCAGCTGGGAGAGCAAGAGGCCTTTCGGCCATTGTTGAATTGTCCCATCACCAGAGCAGCATTGCGGGCAAAGACGTAGCAGGAGATCAGGGCAGAGGAGGAGGTTAGTGTATCTCCTAGGAGAGTTCTGATGGGAACTACCGGTTGTGATTATTGCAACCACCCATTAAAGGAATTAAAGATGGCCTTGGTGAGAGTGATCCTTCAAAACATTTATTTTACATTGCTTTCTCCTGTTCTTTTTCTTCCCCAGTCCCTCGCGTTGTGGCAGTCTCCCCACAGATGCGCCTGGTGGAAGATAATCCCTCTTCTCTCTCCCTTGTGGAGATCTACAAGCAACGCTGTGCCAAGAAAGGGATTGAGCACGACAGCCCGATTTCTCGCTACTATGACAGACTGGCAACTGTCCAAGCGAGAGGGACCCAGGCCAGCCATCAGGTATATTGGGTCTATGACTATGGAGGCTCACCTTTTG